GAACATGAGTTAAAATCAGGCTGCTTTTATCTTGCTGATTTAAATCACTTATGAAAACTGCCATAAATCCAAATATTTAGGTAGGATACTATCCACAGAATCACATATGGCTTTCTGGATTCACATCAAATATTCATTACATAAATGGGAGATTTTAGCTCTTCTTTGGGGAAAAAAGTAGTATTTTTTAAACTGTAGGGCAAATAGTTTAGCAGAAAGGCTGAGCCACGTCCAACATTTTAATGCAAAATGATGTGCAATGTAATGTAAAATCTAGTCAAGTGTTTCATATTTCAAACTCCACAAAATCTTACAATAAACATAGCAACCAGTTATATATATTCAGACAAATGGGAAGTTTGCATTTTATTGCAAGCCGTGGCAAGAAATGTCATATTTTCTCCTCTTGCATACAGTGAAAATAGGAAAGGGAAATGACAGCATACGGGCCCAAAGCTCACCATCATAACAATTATAAACCATGGTTTGTTGCTATACCTGAATACTGTTAGCCTCAGAGAACCAATATCAGCTCTTTTTAAAGCTAAGCTGACCATATGTATCAAGGACATTTCAATATGATATCTGGCAACTAACTGTCTATTACTATCACAATCTAGCACCTTACTTTTGAATACAGGATGTTCTGCTCTACCAGTGTGGCATCTCTCACTGAAATATCTTAACTTCTGGTGGCAGGCATGGCAGTTTGATCATCTTCATGATCATGGAGACAGCATCTCAGCTGTTTAGCATTCAGTGGGTATTGCAGGGTGCTTTAATTTCTTCTGGACAAAATCAACCTATTTGATCTCCGGACAGCCATTCCTCATGAGTAAATCGCAAAAACAGATTTTTCGCAACAACATTTTAAATCAAGACTGAAAATTGATAAGGCAGATATTATTTTAAAAGAAATCCCTATTAGAATTTTACATAAAAGAAAATATTATTTCTTCTTTCACTGAGGTTTTAAAGCAGAAGAAGATCCCATTCCGTTGGGAAAAATTAGAGGGTGTAACTTTTACTTTTCAACAGAGAAGATTTTGATTGAATACCGTTCAAAATAAACCAGGAAAATAGTTAGCTTATAAATTAAGGAAGGAGAAAGAAAAGGGGATGATTTTGAAGCTTCAGAAGGGAGACACAGTTTTAACAGATAATGTGGCTATAAAAAAAGCTTTTAGTCAGTATTATTCTAATCTTTATAAAGGACAGGATATTTCTCTGGAAAAAATAGATGATTACTTAAAAGTTCAAAATCTACCATGGCTTACAGATATACAAAGACAGACTATGAATAGGCCTGTAACAATAATGGAGCTTTTGGAAGCTATAGAAAAGATGAGGCCAGGGAAAGCACGTGGGCCGGATGGATTACCAGGGTCTTATTATAAATGTTTTGAGGATGAAATTTTACAGCCTCTCCAGAAGACAATGAATTTTATTTTACAAGGAGATGGGATACCACAGTCATGGAAAGAAGCTAATATTGCTCTAATACAATAGAGAGCATCTAATACAGAGAGGGCATGTTGTGGACCCTATCAGCGAGAGAATGTCAGCTGGCAGGGCCCAGGAGGAGAGGTGCGATGGGCACCTACCCTCCCAGTTTTCCAGAAAGGACTTAAGACCTGGCTCTGTCAGCTCGCATGGGGAGACAAGAGTTGTAATCAATCCTGAGGGTGGCTGGCACCCTGATGACATTCCCCGAGCCATTCACCAATTTTATCATCCCTTGGAATTTATTTATTATTTAACACTGTTTTATATTGTATTTTAATTTATTCTATCTCTTCTGTAAACCACCCAGAGTGGTTTTCAATGAGATGGGCAGTGACAAATTTGATATATAAATAAATATAAATACCTTAAGAGGGACAAGATTTAAACTTAACTAAAAATTATAGACCAATATCATTTGCCAAAAGTTATTTACTATGATTTTGGCAAATAGACTAAAAATAGTTTTAAAAGATTTTATTCATGAAGACAGATGTGGATTTTTACCTAAAAGACAACTAAAAGTTAATGTTAGAACAGTATTGGACATTCAGAATACTTTGAACAACATAATGAAAAAAACTGCATTGACCTTTTTGGATGCAGAGAAAGCTTTTGAGAACCTTAATTTGGCCATTTTTGTTTAAAGTTTTATAAAATATGGATTTTGAACTTTATAAAATGGGTTAAATTGATATATACTCTACAGAAAGCACAAATTATTGTTAATGGAGAATTAACAAAACCATGTGAGATTCAAAAAGGACATGACAAGGATGTCCATTATCCCCACTTTTGTTTATTTTGGTTTTGGAAGTTTTGAATAGAGATTTAAGACAAGAAGAGGGGATAATGGGTGTAAAAAATTTTTAAAAGACATATAAATGAAGAGCTTTTGCAGATGATTTGGTACTGGTGTTGGAAGAGCTGTTGAAAGGGTCAGAATTGTTAATGAGAAAATTAAAAGAGTTTGGTGCACTAGCTGGTTTTAAGATTAATAAACAAAAGGCAAAGATGTTAACAAAAAACATGAAGACACAAGATCAAATAGAATTGATGAATAAAACAGGTTTCAAGATTGAGAAACAAGTAAGAAACTACAACTATCATTTTTGGGAAGAATTTCTGTGATGTTTTGCCAAGGTTGTTATTTTTGTTTCAGACAATACCAGCTGTGACTAGTGATTTACCATTTAAACAATGGCAGAAGGATATATCTAAATTTGTGTGGCAAGGCAAAAAAAGTGAGTTAAATACAAGGTATTGCAAGATGCCAAAGAAAGAGGAGGGTTAGCTTTACCTGATTTGAAATTGTATTTTGCAGCATGCTGTTTAGTCTGGATGAAAGAGTGGGTGACACTGAGAAACAGAAGGCTATTGGATTTAGAAGGACATGATTTGAAATTTGGATGGCGCAGCTATTTATGGCATGACATAGTTAAGGTTAATGTAGATTTCAAAAATCATTTTATTAGATGTTCCATCTTGAGAATTTGGAATAGATATAAATCTAGATTGTTTCTGAAAATACCTTTATGGCTATCACCACAAGAAGCATATTATAGAAGAGAAATGATAATTAAGCAGAAGTGGCTAATTTATGGCAACATTTTAGATTTCTACTAGAGTGAATTTAAAATAAAATCAAGAGAAGACTTGAAATCAGAAGGATATATGTGTCAATGGTTTTCACATGTACAATTAGCAGAAAGTTTTAAAGTTGATAAAAAGACATATGGTTTTGAATGTGATAAAATTGTATTTGAAACTGAGTTATGTACTAATGATGAACATCTTATTGCTAAAACATTTAAACTTTTGTTGAGATTTGAAACAGAAGATGCACAAGTTAAAGACTGTATGATAAAACGGGTTAAAAAATTTGGATCTAATATACAAATGGAACAATGGGAAAATATGTGGATGAAAATGTTGAAATTTACATGTTATAATCTTAAAAAGAATTTTAATAAAATGATGTATTGATGGTATCTGTCACTGGAAAGATTGTCAGAAATGTACAAAGGGACTATATTTCTAAATATATGTTGGAAATGTGAACAACAAGAAGGAACTTTTTATCAACTTTGGTACACATGTAATAAAGCTAAAAAATTTTGAACTCAAATACATATATTAATATAGAAGATTTTGAAGATTAATATATAATTGAAACCAGAGACATTTCTTTTGAGGCTGATGGATAAACAGTTGGAAAAATCTCATGGACCTTTGTTTTTATGTATAATAACTGCAGCGAGACTTTTATATGCTCAAAGGTGGAAAGACTCGATATTACCTATGATGGAAGAATGGATTGGAAAGTTGATGGAGATAGCTGAGATGGCAAAATCGACAGCTTTGATAAGAGAAAAGACATTGGCTAATTTTAATACTAATTGGAAGCCCCTTTTGGACTTTTTGCGGGAAACAAAAAAAATCAAATTATGATATATGGATTTGAAAATTAGTAAAATTAACAATTATAGGAAAAAATGGATGTTAAGTTGAAAGAGTAAAAGTTTAATGTATATTTTACTTATATCTGCTGTAAAAGAAGTCAGAATTCATTCTTTTGTTTCTTTTTCTTTACTTTTCTGCACGTTTGCTTTATTTCTTTCTCCTTATTCTTTCTTTTCTGCTATTCTCTTTCTTGATTATTAGTTTCTGTTAGTTTTACCTTTCTGGTTTTTTTTTTAATTTAATAAAGTTATTATTAAAAAAAATCTTAACCTGGTGTCACAGTGACAGTTCCCCACACTCACAACCATATTACTGTTACTCAGATGAAACAATAAGCAATTAGACTAACAGGGCAGTAATTTTAAATGCATTTCTAAATAATTTTTTCTAGTCTCAGAAGGATAGAACACTCTTCCTTGATCAGAATACTCCAAGTATATTGACCTCCCATAATTCTCTACCCTCATAGCCAAAGATCAGGGAAAAGACAGAGACTGTTGAGAGTTATCCTGATAGGAATGGACAAATGAAAACTGAGATTATCAAAGGGAAATGGAGAGGGGGCTTATTAGGAGAATATACAACCATGACTCTAAGTAAAATCTGTCAATAAGATCTGTCAATAGATAACCTCCATTTTTTTCAAATCTTCTGGTCTATGATATTAAGATTTTCCTTAGTAGCCTAGCTTTATATTCTCCAATAAGACTTTACTGATACACCTGTAAATTGAGCAAGTCTACTTTGTCTGCAATAGAGTGACTCATATAAGCAACTGGAAAGGAGATGTACAAAAGCCACCTCAACACCTGTCCCACATGAACTACTAAATAGGTCTATTAACTAACCAATGAAATGGATCCCAATTACTCATGGCAATATTTTATTTTATTGATTTCATTTTTAGATAAGCATGGAAGAATTTGAATCCTGAAAAAAATATAAATAATTGGAGCAAATAAATAAAAACAGCATATTTAAATTTGTTTAAAAATAAACCCTTTGAAAGAAATCCAACACGTTCAACTCATTACCTGTTATACTGTATCCGTAAGCAGCTAGCTGTCCAGCCATATATTCGCCATCTGAACTATTATGGGAACATCCCCATGTACGTATCCAAATTTTCTGTATACCAGGAATAACACTGTCAAATAAAAAGATACAAGCATGTTAAATTTCCCCACACTAGAAAAATTTGGCCAGCAGTGATTACAGATATCAAGGAATTCACAAACCCTAAAATATTCCTTGGGAAAGAAAGTACTGCAATACTTAAATAATATACATCAAGTAAAAATATTAATAACAGATCTTACAGAAGATGTTTAATCTTGATTTTGACAAAATGATAACAATATGAAAGAAAACAGAAAATATAGGAGGATGATTGAAATCAGGGATTTTGAGAACTGTCTATAAGCATTTCCCTTTCCATGCAGAGTTCGAATATTCATTGGATGATCCTAAACATTATTTTGCTAGCACGTGAAATTAAGTATATTGTATGATAGCTTGCACACTTTGTTAAGTCTCATTTCTTTGATGTTGGCATTTAGTCTGATCTCTTCCCATCTGTTGGCCACTATGTTGTTCTCCATATTTGCTGGCAGAGTTTGGTTAGAACCTTTACTGATTCTTCTGTTGTTTGCCATATTTCTGTGGATATTCCATCAATTCCAGCTTGAGTCTGAAACCACCTTCTGAGCACAGAACTTTTGGAAAACTTTCCATGTTTTTCTGTGTCTTCTTCTACCTTCAATGTCTTTACATAGGATATTATACTGCTTCTTGTCTAACAGCATTCTAAAATTCTGTTAAGATCTTTCCTAAGATCTTTCTCTTTCCTGGGTTTGGCTTCTCTTCTTGGCAATTTCCACCATTTCTTCTGACATCCACTTTTTCTTTTGTTTCTGTCTTTCAGTCTTTTCACATTTCTCCTTAACAACTTCTTCAATTTCAGTCCACAATTCCTCCCTTTCTTCCTTCTTTGAATTCATTCTACAGTTCTTCTAATTTCCTATCAATGAGTTCAGGACTTCAAAACAATTCCTGATGTTCTCCTTGAAAATGATGGGTTGACACTCAGGATCATATTGTGGAAAATGGGTGGCTTTCTTCTGCTGCTTTAGCTTGACTTGGAACGTGCATATGAGCATTGTATATGAGCAGTCCACAATCTGTTCCACAGTCAGTCCATGGCCACATCTTTGCTGTTATAACTGAGTTCTTCCACCTCCTTGTACCAATAATATAGTCAATTTGATTCTGTGTGCTCTGTCTGGTGATGTCCACGTATATAGGTGTTGTTTGGATTATTGGAAGATTGTGCTAAGAATTAAGAAATCATTGGATGGGCAGAAATTAAAAAAACAATGTTCTCCTGCTTCATTTCAGTTTCCCTGGCCATACAGTCTAATACATTTTCCTTTCAATATTTCCAACTTTGGCATTCCATTCTCCAACCACAAATCACAAATCATATTGCTTTCATTTATGTCAATTTCAGATTCTCAAATTATGGCAAGATTGAACTTGCATAAGACTTGCATTAGACTTTTCAACCTCCTGTTCTTCTGCATCAGTTGCTGCAGCATAAACTTGCATAATTGTCATATTAAAGGATTGTCCATGAAATCTAATTGATATTATTACTGATATTGTACCCAAGTATGTCCTTGCTATATCCTTCCTGACAATGAAAGAAACACTATTCCTTCTTTGTTTTTCATGTCCTGAGTAGTAAAGAGTATGATCTTCTGAATGAAACTGTCAAATTCCAGTCTGTTCCAACAAGCCGATGCCTAAAATGTCGAGGTATAGTCGATTCATTTCATCTTTCACTATACTGAGCTTTCCCATGTTCATACTTCTTGTTATACATTCCCATTCATAATACAGGTAGTCCTCATTTTAAAAACAAGTTCCGTTCCCAAGGTTTGTCCTTAAGTCAAATTTGTAAGTAAGCTGGAACAGTATTATTGTGTAATACTGTGTAAGTAGTATTGTATAATTAACTCAAACCATTTTGTATTTAACTTGAATTTTGCTACGATAGGCTCCGTTCTTAACTATGGGTCGTCCTTAAACCAGGCGTTCTTAACCTGGGGACTACTAGGATGTCACATTCTTTTCCTGAATGGCAACATCAGCAGCTAGATGTCCTGAAGGATTTAATCTAGCCTTAATAAACACTATTGTACTGAAAGGTCCTCAGCTCTTCCTCAGTAGCATGAAGCCTGTCATCTGACCTGAGAGTTCCATCATCTGGCACTATATTGTCAATCACTTTATCTTGTCTGTCCATGTGGTTTTCTTGGTAAAATATAAGAGTGGTTTACCATTGCCTTCTCCTGTGCAGTATGAAATGAGGCCTCTGTCATTGTCACTAAAATGCCTCCAGTACCTTTCTGTATCATTGCTACCTGATATAGGTACCTGCTTGCTTTAGCTGGGCAGCTAGATGATCTTCACACCATGGGTGACCCTGCTGGGAGTATATATTCTTGGCATATACTCCCAGCATTTTTCACTCATCCCTCCCAGGAACACCCCACCACTACCACAAAAAGGCAGTATAGCAGGACCTGTGGGGGAGGGAACTGATTAGTCTCCAATCATTTGGTTGTCCTTTTTTTGTTTTTAATGTCCTGCTCAACAGAATAATCTGTATCATCATGTGGTTACCTTATAACCTTCTATCTAGCTTCAGGCTCCCAGATTCCTTATTCCCATGTGTCTTCCATCACCCAAAAGCCATAAGTTGAAAGCAGAATTATCTATACTAAAAAGGATCAACCTAATACAAACTAAAGTTACTGTACTTGGTATGGCAAAATCTTATTTCAAATTATTAAAAAGGTGAATTATGACAGACGTGTTCAGTTTGTTTCCAGTATAAAGAACATTAAAGCTTTCTAGAGCTCAGTGTCTCCATTTAATACAGCTCTACCTTTTACTGACAAATGTACCTGTCTTTAGGGGGATGATCATCCACTTCCACGTTTTTTTGTGAATGGCGTTTTCGCACTTTAGGAATAATACTTTTTCTATTGAATTGACGATCAAATGGCTTTGGATCTTGTGCTGACACAATATCTTCAATGTCTTCAAGGCAAGGATCACCAGTAGCAGTCATTTTCTATGGAAGACAGAAGTATATGGTAGAAGAGGAAAAGCATAAAACAACAATCTTAATCCCTGTAAAAGAGCAGTGTACAACAATTCACATGCCCCCCCACACAAATTCTGCAAGAATAACAGATCATTTTAAAGAGCAAAGAGCAGCAATCGTTTGTAGGCATCCAGCAAAAGCCACACTAATGTCACATACATCATGATATCATTGTCCAAATGATACAAATTATGTAATTTGGATCAACTGGATCATAATGCAAATTGCATACAGTACCTAATGACATGCCATCTCCCCCCCCCCCGCCCAACCGCCAACCGCAGACACCTGTGCACTCGTGCCAGAAAGTTGAGCTTTAAATAAGAATAATGTAACCATCATTTCAGTTAACAAGATCATTCAGGGAAAGCCAATCTAATGTCAAAATAACAGAAAATCACCCATACTAAAACTAGGTACCATATTTTAAGAGCGAATCTATGAAGATTTATACTATGTCATTTTCCAGACTAGCTGGGACTGATAATGTTCAAACCACAGTTTGTTTCTACTATATAACTTTCAGCAATATTTCCACAAACATTCGGTGAGTGTTTTTGCTCAATACACTAAGAAAATGGTGGGCAAGCCACAGTTCCTCAGGCAGTGCTTCCTTGGTCAGCTGACAATATGAAAACAGCCCTGCTGGATCAAGCCTAGTTAGCATACTCTCTTCCATGGTGTCAGCCCTTCAAGGTAGACCAGACTACAAAACCAATGTCATGGAGGCCAATACTACTTTTATTATAAGGTTATAGTAACAGAATCTTGCAAGTCTGAATGTGCTTCCCC